CCCAAAGAAGGTTTTCAGTACCCAGGAATTCTCCAACTTCTCCTCTATTTCAGATGGACCCTGATTGGTCTCTTTGCTTCAGACACAGAGAAAGGAGAGAATTTCATGAGAACTTTTACTCCTTTGCTTGTCAGGAATGAAATTTGTGTTGTTATATCACAACAATTCTCAACAACTACACCCACAAAATCCTTCAGGGAAGCCATGTCCAAGTGGAGACAGGTCAACGTCTTTGTTCATTTTGCAGAATATGATCCCATTTGGGACAGAATCCTTCCTTTCCATTTAACCCTTGAAGTTTTTCCAGGATCCATTGAAGGGAAAGTCTGGCTCATGACAGGTTTGGGAACGTATGAAATGAAAAAGCACAGACTTCTCAAATATATCCATAGTATTTGGAACTTTTCGTTTTTGTCAAAGAAGAGGCCAAAAGATGATGCCTTTGAACCCTATTTCATTGTAAACCCCCAGTTTGAAGATGAGTCTTTTGAATGTTCTCTTTCAAAGCATGGCTTTTCTGTCAAAGGCCGGAGACGATGCACTGAGAAATCGCCACTGGTGACCCAAAAGAAAGGGAGCAATATCCAGATCCCAAATGATGGACATTATTACAGTTTTGTTAAGACTCTGGTCCATGCCTTGAATGCTGCATATTCCTCCAATTCCAGGAGGAAAAGGAAAGAAGGGGAAGAGAGCTTGGGCAATCCAAGGCTACAGCCATGGCAGGTACAGGGTCCTGAGAAGGCTCCATAAAACCTAGTTACTTTTGAGAATTCAAAGGAGAAGCAGGAGAACCTTCTCAATCTACTTGTGCTACAAAAGGCCAACAGATTTGGCCAATCTAATCACTTGGGAGGATGATTTTCCAAACAGCCTATACTAAAAAAAAGATAAATTTTGATATTAACCATTGCTAATTTTTCAAAGGATGTATGCATTTTAAAATAAATGCCAGTATGTATAGATATGGATGGAGGTGGTTAGCATGATAGAATTTTACATTTATAAATATGAAGGAGACCCTGAGACCACCTAGCCCAACCCCTCCTGTCTGCAGGAAACCCAATTAAAGCTTTTCTGATTGATGGATCCTCTATCTTTGCATAAAGGCAAATCAGTGAAAGGGTGACTGAACTTCTCTGCTTTATTGGTTCAATTCTAAAATGGTTCCTCCTTTTAGAATGTTTTCCTCTCATTCAGCCAGAATCTTCCTTCTTATGACTGAATTCATGTTACCATGTCTGACACCCTGGAATAACAGTGAGAAAATATTAAGCTTCTGTTTAACATCTTTCAGTTATTGGAAGAGTCTTGTATCCTCCCTTTTCCAACTGAATATTTTATAAGTTGAAAAGCTGCTCCCACTCTTATTATCTGTTACCATAGAGCAACCTAGCTCCTCTCCTTGTCGTCTTTCCTGAAGGCTAAGAGCAGGCCTTTTGATCTCTTCCTTGGCTTCTTCACTTTCCCCTAAACCTGATTCAGGGATTGTGCAATGCTTCTTCTCCAAGCATGGTGCCTCCAGAGGAACTATATGTGAGTTGGTATCTCCCAAAACCAGAATATTCATGTTCTGATATTTTTATGGATGCATTTATCTTCTTCGCATGACCATCATATTGCTGACTGAAATTTGATTTGTCAACAACTATTTCAAGATTACTATATTTTTCAGAGTATAAAATGCACCTTATTTTTGGGGAGGAAAATAAGAAAAAAGCTGATTGGCAGGTGGATAGGCCTCCCAGAATACTCTCAATCAGCTGTTCCCAGAGGTGAATTTGAACAAGAGGTTCATTGGTTGTGAGCTCTGTGCCTTGCTTTTTTTTCAGCCTCTGAAACAGAGGTTTCAGAGGCTTTTTTTTCTGCCTCTGAAAGCCTCTGAAACAGAGCTTCAGAAAAAAAAGCCTCTGAGCTGAAGCTCTGTTTCAGAGACTCTTTTTCTTAAGCTTCTTTCAGAGGCTTTTTTTTTCTAAAGCTCTGTTTGGAGGCTTTTTTCCTGAAGCTTCTTTCAGAGGCTTTTTTCAGCCTCTGAAATCTCCATTTGAGAGGCTGGGTGGGGCTACATTTGGAGAATAAAACACACCCAGATTTTCACCCTCTTTTTGGGAGGAAAAAGGTGTGTCTTATACTCCAAAAAATATGGTATTTTCACAAATATACTTACCAAATTTTGTATCCCTTGTCCCTCTTCCAGTGTATCATTAAAGTACTATAGTTTATCAATTCCATGTTGCTAAAGCTCAGATATTTTTTTACTGAATTTTCCTGATGCACCTCTCCCTATGAGGAAATCATAAATATTTTTCTGTAAACTTGGCATTGTTTGAATGAGATGAAATTAGTTTTTCTAAGGATCTGTATAAATCTTCCATCAAACGGATTTATCAATTCTACTGTAGTAATGGCAATATAGAAAAATCGATGACCAAGAACTAAGGAGTTATTATTAATCCTAATTCCCCATTTTTATGAGAAAGATTAAAAATATTAAACATTATTTCAGTACAATTTTAACAATGTTTTATCCATTTAATTGTCATACCATCCAGCCCTCACATAACTAGGTTCTAACCACTAATCATCACACTATGAAATAGTTTTTTTAATAATTTTCTGAAATTAGGTTATATCACCAGCATTCACACAATCTATTAAGAAATATAATGATATGTGGGAAAAAGAGATGGTGCATAGGGAATGATTAGATAGGAGGGACTAAGCCTGCAGTTACATAATGGGCAGAGAAAGAAAATCAGAAAGATACTGAAAAAAATTGCTACCAGATTTATATTTACAGACTTGCATGATTCGCTCAGTGAGACCTTCAAAAAAGTAGAATTAGCTCATTTGCTTTTTGTTTCCCAATCTGGTCTAATAGGGAGAAGTTTAGACTGGCAATTTTCATCTTGAAAATCCATGCTTTTTGGTAATCTCCCTTTTGTCTTCAAGGCATTTATGAATAATCTCTTTTTTCTATTGTTCAATTTATTTGACACCTGCTCTCCAATGTTCCCTATAAATGATCAATTGTGCCAATTACATTTTGTTAATATCAATTCTGTCAATATATATAATTGAGAAATTTTGCTGAACCATTTTCCTTCGCTTACGAAGATAGTGGTGATACTTTTCTCCTTATTAAGCATACTTTGAAGTTAGAGAACAATAGTTGCAAGTTGTACAACTGTAGAAGAAAGAATCAAATGTGAAAAGATCACGTGGGATAAGAAACAGAGGTTTCTGCTTTTAAAATTCTTGGATGTTTCCATTCTAGTTTCATCCCTTTCTGGAGAAGAATGAGTTTTGCAATCTTTCCGAATTTATACTCTACATGGACCAAAACGGAGAGATAGCAGCAGATCTGGGCATCATGAGCTTGTTGGTTCTCCTCAAAAAGGATCCCATCAGACTGATACTGGGGACTTTTGAAAAACAAAGACTTATTTTCTTCAAAAATGCTATGTCAGAGCTAGAGATGTTAAACAAAGTGTGTGAAATTTTGCCATCTTATCTCTCTTTCTCAAAGCCTTAGAACTCAATTCAAGTGGGCTAAGCCCACAATTACCATGATGAATGACTTCACTGAGAATTGAATATGGGGAATAGAAACCTTATAGTTACTGCTCAGGAGGATTCAGTACTATTCACAAAATTGTTCTATAATATGGAACACAGTTTTAAGCTGATTCAGACACATTCAATAATGTATTCTTCTTTAGGATGCAGACCATGGTCCTCTTGTGTGCCCTCTACAATTTAGTATCTCCATCAAACTAGCCAGACACTAACAAGGGCTGGGAAATGTGTTGCTCATAGCCTCAGATTCGTTTATTCCTTATCCTCAAATAGTGATTCTGTTGACCAGTGCCTACATTCAGTTTTGGACTGAATCAGATGACACTGAATCATGACTGGATGATTCTCTGGTCCTATTAGGAAATAAGTTTAATCTTGTCCTGGTTGGGGAAAGTGTGCCCTGAAAGTGCAGACTCATAATCTATAATGTTTTTAAACATCCCAGAATTTGCCAGAGTTATCCATGCCTCTCTTTCACCTCACTGGGATAAAGTAACAGACCTTCAATTCTTTTTCTGTGGCAGTTGAAGAACTGCAGAAAATACCTTTTCTTTGATACTTAGCTGGGTTTTATTTGTTTGTGACACAGGACTCATACTAATGTCCCATGTGCTGCAGCAAAAGATTGTTGACTTACCTTTCTAGAGGGACATGTTCTCACGACCTCACCTCCATCTCCCTTCAATACAGATATAGAAACTAGACAGTCAATGGTAGAAGAGAATATTTATAGCTCAGGGTTGAACTGTGCTGTCCTTGGTGCTTTGTGATTTTCTTACAAATATTTCATTACCAAATGAGGCAACATCCTAAGTGCACTAAGTTCATTAGCCTAGCAGCCACAAGATTTGAAGAAATAAATAAATAAATTAAATTAAAAAAGATTGTTCCTTTCAAAGTTGACAGCACTAATTTGTAAGGATTTTTTTTTTTTTGTATCTTAACTAGAAATTCATTTTTGACTATGTTCAAAGGAGAACACTTTTGCAATGTTTCATGCATTCCAGAACAAAACTTTCCCAAACCTACTGGTCAGCAGTTTCTTTCTTCATCACAGTTATACATATTTTAATAAATCGAATAGAATAAAATTTTAATGTATATTATTAAGAATAAATTTTATTCCAAAATTTAATATGAATATATCACCAAAATTTAAAATCATGGATATATGAAGAATGGAGGCCATGAGCAGGAACCCACTGGTTTTCGTTGAATGCTTAAATCTTTTTTCAATTCCATCATTACAGACTTCATTAAATAGAAAAATACTCTCTGGCAATGTGATATAGTTAGAGATTTCATATTTACTAAGTAAATCCTAGAGACTACTTGGTGAATTGTCAGTACATGTCCGTTTTGAATCGATAGTAATCCTAATACATTTTCCTTATCATTCCTTGTTTTATTTTTCTTCTTAGTCTCTTCCTCAATCAATTTGTGTGGAAAGTTGTCATCCTGGATTTGTCAAGCGAGCTCGAGAAGGAGAGCCAGTTTGCTGCTACGACTGCATTCCTTGTCCAGAGGGGACCATCTCCACTCAAGAAGGTGGGTAACAACAGAAGAAATGATTCTGGATTTATCCAAAGCATTTTGATCAATATGCTTTTAAAAGCATGCTATCAATTATTGTCCGAAGAAAGTATTGCTTGAAAGGTAAAAGGGTATTATATGAGAGAAATATTCCTTTTTGTTTTTCTCAGATATGGAAAAATGCACCCAGTGTCCAGATGATAAATATGCAAATAAGGACCGAGTCCAATGTATTCCCAAAGTTCTAACCTTTCTTTCTTATCAAGAATATCTGGGCATAATCTTGGTCTCTTTTGCTCTACTTTTGTTCCTAACCACAGGCCTTGTTTTATTCATATTCATTAAATACCGAGAAACTCCCATTGTCAAAGCCAACAACCGGGATCTCTCCTACATTCTCCTGGTCTCCCTGTTGCTTTGCTTCTTGTCCTCTTTTCTCTTCATTGGACAACCAAGAAAAGCCACCTGTCTTCTCCGACAAACAGTGTTCAGCATCATCTTCTCAGTTGCTGTCTCTTCTCTCTTGGCCAAAACCATCATGGTGGTGCTGGCCTTCCTGGCCACAAAACCAGGAAACCAAGTGAAGAAATGGTTGGGAAATAGCTTGTCCAATTCCATCATCCTTTCTTGTTCTGCTGTCCAAATTATCATCTGCTCCATCTGGCTTGGAGTTTCCCCACCATTCCCTGACTCTGACTTCCACTCTCAGCCTGGAGAGATCATCCTGCAATGTAATGAAGGCTCAGTTGTCCTGTTTTACATCACCCTCAGCTACCTGGGCTTCCTTGCTGCCATCTGCTTCACAGTGGCTTTTCTAGCCAGGAATCTCCCTGGGGCTTTCAACGAAGCCAAGCTGATCACCTTCAGCATGTTGGTCTTCTGCAGTGTCTGGGTGACTTTTGTACCCACCTACTTGAGCACCAAAGGAAAATACATGGTGGCTGTTCAGGTCTTCTCTATCTTGGCCTCCAGTGCTGGTTTGTTGGGCTGCATCTTCATCCCCAAGTGCTACATCATCATTCTGAGGCCTGACTTGAATACAAGGGAGCATCTTACAACCAGAAGAAATGTTGAAATGTGAAACAGGGGGATTTTGACTCTCCATACTTTCCAACAGGCCAAACCTAGAAAATGGCCCAAGCTGTTTCCCAAACATGAGTTGGCCAATGATTTTGCTTGAAAAAAATTAAAGGGTGGTCAGACAATGTATCCTCCATACTTACCCAGTTGGATTGCAAGATAGCCCCCATTACCTTTTGAACAGTTGAGGTATCCTATCTGTCCTCTGCCCTTAGATTACACGAGCCCTGAAATGCCCCTTCAAAATATTTTAAAAATGATACTGGTGCAATGGGAATGTTGTTGATATGCAAAAAAAAAAAAAAAAAAAAAAAGCACAGGAAAGTCCTTTTAAAATATCACTATTTTAGTTATATCATGGTTTATTTACAATTTTATCTAGCTGAGTGATATAATTTTGTTTATCTATTTATTTATCCACCCATCTTACCATAGGGTAACTTTGGATGGTTTGCAGTTACATACACAGTTAAAACATAAAAAGTTTAAATCAGACATTAAAACCAAGGACACATGGGGAGGGCGGGGGTGGAGTGAGAGGGAGGTGGGATTTGTTATTACTCAATCAACCACCTCCATTGTTCTGTTCCCCCACTAGGGCTCCAAGCCAACCAGTAGAGCCACGTCTTTAGGCCCTTATGAAAAGGTAGAAGGGTTATGGCCAACCTCACATCAACAGGCAAGTTCCTAAGTAAAGCTGTGGAAGGGAAAAGGACCTTTTCATTATCCTTGAAGGATAAGGATAAGGATAATTTTATTTCTATACCGCCCCTCTCCCAAGGGACTCGGGGCAGTGTACATCCAGGTAAAACACAATACAAATATCACAATTTAAATTTAAAAATTCTTAAAAGTATTACATTTAAGGCCAAAATTAGCTAAAAAAACCCAAAAATTTAAGAACTCCAAATTTAAAACTCAGTTATGAAGCTAGCCCTGCCTGTCAGAAGAGCAGGGTCTTAAGAGCACAGCAGAAAACTCGGAGGTCAGAGATCTTGCGTATGTCCGGGAGCAGTTCATTCCAAAGGGCAGGGGCTCCCACAGAGAAGGCTCGCCCCCTGGGTGTCGCCAGCCGACATAATTTGGCCGACGGCACCCTGAGGAGTCCCTCTCTGTGGGAGTGAACTGGTCGGTGGGAGGCTATCGTTGGCAGAAGGCGGTCTCGTAAGTACCCAGGTCCTGAGCCATGGGACTGAAGGGACTGAAACTGACATCTTCTCTCAGATTGCAACCACATTGGCTACCTACAAAATTGACAAATATGTATATAATGTTCTGCAATCTCTTTCTCATGGTGTAGCGGTAAATAAGAGGAGGTGCAATGACTGAGCATAATGAGCAGATACGCACTCCCTGTGCCCAAGTTTCTGTCTGCAAGAGGAGAAATCACCTGCTTTTTCATAACAACCGCCATCTTTATCATGATTTTACATTTCTTTTGTTCTGAATAAAAATAATCAGAGAAATACACATTGTCTGTGCCATTTCTTCATTCTTTTTCACATCAGCGCTGCCTTGAATGAACCAAATCTGATTTCATTCAAGCCCTTTACACTCCTATTCTACAATTTTTGGATAAAGAACTTTTTTTTTTTTTACTGTAAACATCAAATTTTAGTGGATAGCTGGATATAATAGCTACATTTGAAAACAAATCTTATGAGTTCAGGATGACATATCTTAGCAAACTTCCATTTTAAGAATATAAAAATAAGTCTTATGGATAAGGAGAGAGTCCACCTTCATCTCCCAGTGACCACCCAGAAACATTTGAAGTGTCCACGAGAAGTATTTGGAGATATATAAGTTATAATCTTTGACTGGGAATTTGTGCCAAACTTCCCTCCCTCACACCACATCTGTTTGTTTGTTTGTTTGTTTGTTTGTTTGTTTGTTTGTTTGTTCAATTTATATGCCGCTCTTCTCCAGAGACTCAGGGCGGCTTACAATGCGTTAAGCAATAGCCTTCATACTTTTGTGTATACCTGCTTAGTAGGGCTTTTGGCCCCCCCTAAGCGGTGTTCTTTTTTATACAAAGTCATCTTATTGCCCCCACAATCCGGGTCCTAATTTTACCTACCTCGAAAGGATGGAAGGCTGAGTCAACCTTGAGCCTGGTGAGATTCAAACTTGCAGTAATTGCAGGCAATTGGTGCTAATTAATAGCACTTTAGTCTGCTGTGCCACCAAGGCTCTTTCATGATCCTAATTTTGTAAGAATTCTTTTCTAGAAAACTTATACAGCTGTATTTTAGCTCCTGTCTTCTTTATCTATATTTTAGTTGACCACTTGGATAACCCTGATTATCCTCCTTCTTGACTCCAATACAGCAAACTGCAGGCAAACTATGATGCAATAAAATAATGACATTTTTAGAGAACTTCCCCCAAATATGTTTCTCTTTTTTTACAATTTTATTTTATTCGAAAGAATAAAAAAATTATTAAAATTTATTAAAAAATTTATAATAAAATTTATTCTTTAAATAAAGATGCACTAGGCATTAAATAAATAAATAAATGCAGTAAATGCAATAAATGGAATAAATAAAAAAATAAAAAATGCACTAGCAGCCTAAAACCATCTCTATCTATTGGACTTGATGGATTATGTGCCTACTTCTTAAAAAAGCTTTCCACTGGCAGAGCAGAACCTCTAAGTATAATCTATGAAAAATCTTTCAGAACCAGCTTCCTTGCCCAACCTATGATGACTAGCCACGGTCATCCCTATCTTCAAAAAGGGAGACCCTAGCATAGTTGAAAATTACAGACCAATCTCTTTATGTTGCATCACCTGCAAAGTCATGGAATCAATCATTAACCAATCCATTACCCTCCACTTAGAGACAAACAACCTACTCTCGAACAAACAATTTGGTTTTCAGGAAAAATTTGCCCTGTAATCTGCAACTCCTACACTGCAAAAACATATGGACTACACAACTCGACCAGGGCAAAGCAATAGACACAATTTACATAGACTTCTGTAAAGCCTTTGATTTAGTAGTACATGACAAACTACTTCTAAAACTAAAATCATATGGCATTTCTGGACCTCTGCATAATTGGATAGCTGCGTTCCTGTCAAACAGACAACAAGTGGTCAAAACAGGAAGCGCCCTATCAAATTCTGTACCTGTTAACAGTGGAGGCCCTCAAGGCAGCAATTTAGGACCCACACTTTTTATACTTTATATAAATGACCTTTGCGATCATAGTAAAAGCAACTGTGTTCTCTTTGCTGATGATGTAAACTATTCAACACCACCGGCAATACTGCTACCCTTCAAAAAGATCTTGACTATGTGTCAGAATGGTCAAACAAGTGGCAACTTCAAATCTCAAAAAATGCTCTATCTTACACATTGGCAAAAAAAAATCAGAACATAAAATACAAGCTGGATGGACACAACCTTGTAGACGACCCTCACTCTGTCAAGGACCTTGGAGTACTCATCTCTAATGATCTAAGTGCCAGAACCCACTGTAACAACATTGCCAAAAAGGCATTAAGTGTTGTTAGCTTAATCTTGTGAAGCTTCTTCTCTGGTAATATTGTACTGCAGACTAGGGCATACAAAACCTTTGCTAGACCAATTCTCGAATACAGCTCATCTGTCTGGAACCTGCAATGCATATCGGACATTAATACAATTGAGCGAGTCCAGAGATATTTCACGAGAAGAGTCCTCCAGTCCTCTGCTCACAACAGAATACCTGTCTACTGTTGACCTCACCCCATTCCTAAGAGGTCTGTAAGGGGCGTGCATAAGCGCACCAATGTGCCTACTGTCCCTGTCCTACTGTCCCCATTTATTTTTATCTATTTCCTGTATTCATAATCATGTTTATACTTATATCTGTTATCTTATACCTGCTTGACATGCATACATATCTATATATATATCTATATATATATCTATATACATATCTATATATCTATATATCTATATTTCTATATCTATCTATCTATCTATCTATCTATCTATCTATCTATCTATCTATCTATCTACACACACACACACACACACATATATATATATAATATATATATATATAAATATATATATATAAATATATAAATATATATATATATATAAAAATAAAATAAAATAAAATAATAAAATAAAATAAAATAAAATAAAATAAAATAAAACCTTCTTCCTATTTAACCACAATAGAGTCCAATGGTTATTACTTTCTTACTCAGCTCTCACCCAAACATTTACATTTCTAGAACAGATGGGAAAGGAAATTTCACTTCAGATACAAGAAATTTTAAAATCAGCACCAATTTAGGATTAACACCATAGATTTCTTAGAAAAGAAAATCACAAACAAGCCCTACTCTAAACATTCATCTGGGTTCACATGTGCTGATTGCTTCCATGGCATTAGGAAAAAGGAAGCCCTGGTGTTAACTGTCACCCACCTAGAGTGTCACCACCACAGTCTCTAGCTGTTGTGGCCCGTCAGCGCCCTGTGCAGCTAGTAGCTGATTCCGACAGTGAGGAGGTTGGTGTGGTGCTGCACCAGCAGCCTGTGCAGCTGGCACTTGAGTCAGACAATGAGGAGGCTGGAGAAGATATGGTGCCAGAGGCGGGGATTCAGCCAGGGCCTTCAGAACCTCCAGAAGCTTCCTTAAGTGAAGAGGATGAAGAGGAGGACCTCTTCTCGATGCACGGGCGCGCAGAGCTGCCAAAAGGCAGGAGTGGCTCCTCAGGAGGAGGTCTCCTCGAGAGTAAAGCTTGGGGCTAATTGGCCACTCCCTTAGCCTATTTAAAGAGAAATGCCAACTGAAGCAAATTGCAAGGAACAACTTCATTCACATACCTTTGTGTCTTGTCTTGCTTATTAGCTTCCTGCAAATTGCTTCTGGGCATTCTGCCAACCACAGTAAGCTTTCAGTATTATTCTTTGAATTCTTGGAAGCTGTTAATGCAGTTAATTAACAGCTGTTGTTGTAAAAAAAACTAGTTTATTTAGTAAACTAAGGTTTGAACGGACTTTGTGTGTGCTGCATTCTTTGGGGTCCATAGCTGGGGCAGAACAATAGCTCTGGGTGGCTCTCCCCAGCAGGAATTTTAAAAACAGCTCCAATTTAGGATTAATATATGGAGATCTCATAGAAAAGGAAATCAGAAAAAGACCCTACTCAACATTAGGGAGGGTTCATAGATACTGACTGACTCCTTTTCATTAGAAGACAGGAAGGACTAGAGTTGTGTCATGAATGTAGAGTTTAATCAAACTTCTTAACTCTGAGTGACCTTCCTCAGCAGTCTCTGGAGACCAAACATTGCAATGAAGGATAGCTGAAGTCAATATTCTGGGTGTTGAACTATTTTCCTCCAGCATCATTTTCTGGACATGCCATGACAGGAAGGACCACAACACCCCCAGGGATACATTTGTGAGTTTCACTTACACACTGTTATCCAGCTGACCCTCTGCACAGGGAGTCTTGGAAGAACTTCAGGATCCCCAGAGGAAATGT